GCTAGAACCCTTTCGTGGTTCTTCTTCTCCTTTTCTTTCTCTTCTCCTCCTCCTCCTCCTTTTCTTTCTCTTCTCCTCCTCCTCCTCCTTTTCCTCTGCCTTCTTTTTCCTCTTCCTCCTTCTTTCTCCTCCTCTTTCGTGTTTCTTTTTGGAAATTTCCTGGTTATTCTTGTTTTGTAATCTTCCAGATGAATAATTTTGAATCACTTTTTCATGTTCCAGAAAATAATACTACCAGAATTTTTATTGTGATCACAGAAGTTTTACAGATTCATTTGAGGGGAAAAACCCCATCTCCCAGAATACAGAAGGGATGAGGGAAAGACAAACATCAAGGGTAACTCCCAGCTTCTGGACTTGGAGACCAAGAGGATTTGGGGCACCCAGGAGCAGGACGGGAAAGTGTGATGCCTGCCTTTCACTGAGTTGGAGGATATCCAGACTTGGGGGAACCATGAAAAGTTTGGTTCAGACCTGAGTTGGAGATGTCTATGGGCAGCCCACAGGGAGATACCCTGGAGGTAGAGGCCCTCCTTACTGCCTCCCTCATTCATTCTGAGGTCCATTCACTACATGGACACTGAAGTGGCCCAAAGCTTCCCTTGTTGGATCAGGATAGTCTCCAGGGCCCTGTGTGGTCTGGGCCTGCCCACCTCCCCACCCCCTCTCCGGCCTGCGCTCCTCTTGCTCACTGGACCCCACCCACCAGCCTCCTTCTAGTCCTCCTGACATTTGCACTTGCTGTTCCCTCTCTGCCTGGAATATCCTAGCTCTTTGCATGGCTTGCTGCTTTGCATCTTTTAATTGAAGTGCAAATGTCACTCCTTCAGGTACGCCTTTCCCAAATACCCTAGCTGAAGAGGACCGCTCCCCAACTTCCTACCAGCCCTATCATACCGGGACTCTCCCTCTTGCTTTCTTTCTCTCTGCCCCCTTTGTGTTTTTTCTGTAGACCTTGATACAACTTGTTACTGTTTTATTTGTTGATGTGCTTACATCATTTGTGCCACTGTGATGGTTAGTTTTATGTGTCAACTTGGCTAGGCTATAGCGGCTGTTCATCAATCAAACACTGATCTATGTGTAGCTGTGAAGGGATTTTGTAGCTGTGATTAACAGCTACAATCAGTTGACTTTAACTAAGGAAGATTATGCTGGAGAATGTGGGGGAAGGGCCGGACCTCAGCCAATCAGTTGAAAGGCCTTAAGAACAAAGCTGAGATTTCCCTGAGGAAGAAGAAATTCTGCTTGTGGACTGCAGCATCAGTTCCTGCTTGAGACGTTCCAGGCTGCTTTTCCTGACAGCCCATCCTATGGATTTTTGACTTGCCTGGCCAGGTTTTTCCTCTCTCTTGACCCCCTAAAACCATATATATCTCCTGTTGGTTTGTTTCTCTGGTGTAATCCTGAGGAATGAACACTCCTCCCTCCCAGTTCACTCTGGGAGAGGTTGGGGATCATGTCTGTCTGTTTCCGCAGCCTGGCATTGAACAACCACACATTAGGAAGCCAGTCATATGTGCTTCTTCAGAACCTCATGTCCATTGCCAGACCTCCCTGGCTTTTGTGGCTGAAGGACAAGTGAGAGATAGTAGCTTATGCATAGACCTTGGCCTTGAGGCCCCCAGGGGGCCGAGACTGCTGTAAGGGAGGAGGGAGCCCCTGAGGTCTCACACACCTCCCTGGGGATCTGGCACTTTCCCTTGGGGTTGGCCTCAGAGCTGAGGGAGGAGGAATTATCGGGTGGGTTGTAGAGGGAGCATCTCCCCACCTAG